GACTCCCCAGTCCAAGTAGGATTCCCCTCCTCTTTCCTATTCCTAGTAGGAGAAGGAGGGAAGGAGGAAGAGGGGAGAAGGAAGGAGGGGGGCACCGCCCCCTCCTAGTCCAATTCGGACCAGCCCATGGGGGGGGCGACCACCCCTTGAGGCCCTTCTCTCCTTTCCCATGTGGCCCATTAAGGCCCACTACTTCCCCCGGCGAATTCCCGTAACTCTCCGGTACTCCGAAAAATGCCCGAATCACTCAGAACCTTTCCGATGTTTGAATATAGCCTTCCAATATATCAATCTTTACCTCACGACCATTTCGAGAGTCCTCGTCATGTCCGTGATCTTATCCGGGACTCTGAACAAATTTCGGTCATCAAATCACATAACTCATAATATAAATCGTCATCGAACGTTAAGCGTGCGGACCCTACGGGTTCGAGAACTATGTAGACATGACCGAGACACATCTCCGGTCAATAACCAATAGTGGAACCTGGATGCTCATATTGGCTCCTACATATTGTACGAAGATCTTTATCGGTCAAGCCGCATAACAACGTACGTTGTTTCCTCTGTCATCGGTATGTTACTTGCCCGAGATTCGATCGTCAGTATCACCATACCTAGTTCAATCTTGTTACCGGCAAGTCTCTTTACTCATTCCGTAATGCATCATCCTGCAACTAACTCATTAGTCACATTGTTTGCCAGGCTTATAGTGATGTGCATTACCGAGAGAGCCCAGAGATACCTTTCCGATACTCGGAGTGACAAATTCTAATCTCGATCTATGACAACTCAACAAACACTATCGGAGACACCTGTAGAGCATCTTTATAATCACCCAGTTACGTAGTGACGTTTGATAGCACACTAAGTGTTCCTCCAGTATTCAGGAGTTGCATAATCTCATAGTCATAGGAACATGTATAAGTGATGAAGAAAGCAATAGCAATAAACTAAATGATCATTATGCTAAGCTAACGGATGGGTCTTGTCCATCACATCATTCTCTAATGATGTGATCCCGTTCATCAAATGACAACACATGTCTATGGTCACAAAACTTAACCATCTTTGATTAACGAGCTAGTTTAGTAGAGGCATACTAGGGACACTTTGTTTTGTCTATGTATTCACACATGTATTAAGTTTCCAGTTAATACAATTCTAGCATGAATAATAAACATTTATCATGATATAAGGAAATAAAAATAACTACTTTATTATTGCCTCTAGGGCATATTTCCTTCAAAAATGGCATCAAAATTATCCAAATATATTTGATGTACCAAAAATATCAAATAAATGACAATTGCATGAACATTAAAATTAAAAAAACAAGAATTACATGTTGGTAATAATCTCATCAACATTTTTGGGGCAACCCAAACTCCACATTTAAGCATTGCACTACTTTAGTATTAATAAATACCAACATAATTGCCAAATGCACAGCGTAATATTTAGTTTCACATGATCCCAACATTACCTACCGCACAGAGCGGTGGCAAAATCCGAAACACGCGACCACGAAAGTCACCAAAATATATGACATCGGTCTATGAATAAAAAATCTTTCAAATAGGATGCCCCAAAACTGGAGGGATCACCATGTTTATAATTATTTTCAAGATCAATACCATGTTGCAATGTTAATATGATACTAAAAAGGGACCATCATTAAGAATAATGCCATAAAGAGTGGTACCAAAACTAATACCACATGCAGAAAAAATATCCTGGATCAGATGTTTCGTTTATTTAAATATTATTAGTCACATATTTCTTGGGCATTTATATGGCTTAAAAGTGCACAAAACATAACCATGGCTCCTTTTAAGGCAGAGAAAAATGTTCAAAATTTGAGCAAGCCCCCAAAAGGCTCTTTTTTGGTCCATGGTGGGCATGGGCTTAACAAAAACCGGTGATCCGGACAAAGCTAGGCCATTCTCTCCTCTTGCCACGATTCTCCCGGCACCCGCGGCGTCAGAGGAGAGAATGCATGTTCGCCACAAACCACTGCGGCACGGCTGGCTTGTTCACTGGCGCGCGCGTGCATCCATTGGATGGTGCGCACGACTCGGTCGAACTCGCTGGACCACGTTCCGACCATGGTGCGCAATGGCCGGAAGCGTGAGAGAGATCCGATGGCTTCAGGTAAGTCCCCAATCCTTTTTCTTTAGGTTTTCAGCAGTAATTCTGGGCAAACAGCAGGAAACACATATGCTAGTTGCAGGTCAGCAGGGAGTAAATTGCAGAAAACCACCACTTTGAGGACTAGGTTATCAGAAAACACTACGTTACATTTTTTTGGCAGAAAACACCACGGCCAACATAATCTTTTTGTAAATAACACTGATCGGCGGATTAGAGCATTTTGAGCATGTTTATGATAGAGAGGTCCCATTAGAGCATCTCCAACAGCCGCGCCAAAAGGCGCGCGCACGGTAAACTAAGTTTTTAGCATGCACGGGACGTTCTCGCGCGCTCTAGCACGCGCGGGAATCGTTTGCGCGCGCGGGGAAAAAGACGGCAGCTCGCGCGCTATTTTTGGCGCACTGCTTCCGGCGCGCCTTTAAATTGCGGCGCTCGCCACACGGCTATTCTCACACTCTCTCTTCCTGTTCCGCTGCCATGCGCGCCTCCCCCGCTTCCTTGTTGCTTTCTCGCCGCTCCAGCGTCCCGCCACCGACGCGCCACCATGCCGCCGCGCCGCCGAGGAGCGTCGGGCTACCGCGGCGTTCGCCAGCGCTTCAACGGCTGGTACTACTCCAAGATCCGGTCCGGCGACGTCCGGCTGGCCTCGGCACCTTCGAGACTGCTCACGAGGCCGCCCGCGTGGACGACGCGGCAGCGTGGCGCCTAGGCAGGCCGCGCCCGCAGATGAACTTCTAGGACATCCACACGCGCCAGCAGGCGCAGGGCGTCGCCCCTCCGCCTCGTCTTATCACGGACCAAGACCGTGCGGAGCACGGTCGGCGGCAGCGCCTCCTCCTCATCGCCGAGGAGGACGAGCGGGCCATGGCAGAGTGGCGCCAGCTCCACCCAGAGGACGTCGTCGCGCCTACTGGGCGGAGCAGACGGCAAAGCGCCGCGCGGAACGGTTGGACAGGCGTCGGCGGAAGGCCCTAGCGTTATCGCAGTGCGATACTGTTGAAAATGGTGGGCAATCATCTTTTCGGCTAATGATCCTCATTGGGACGACATGTGGCTCGATACCTCGGACTAGACCAGCGAGGATGACGACGATGATGACGATGACGACTGGGATTAGGTTGTAGTTGCATTTATCTAGTAGTTTTTTTATGTCATTGCACCGTAGTTTTATCTATCTATGTTGTGGAACTATCTAAAATATCTATGTATCGTTTTTATCAATGAATTTTATTTAGTATCATTTTTATTTAAAAATATGTATGCGGTGTTCGTGCGATAGCGCGCGCTGCATTTTAGCGCGGCTGCTGCAGCTACGCGCGCGCGCTAAATTTTAGCGCGGCTGCTGGAGCTAGCGTTGCCTGCCGCGCTTTTTCAGACGACGGGCGCGCTGCATTTTAGCGCGGCTGCTGGAGCTACCCGCGCGTGCTAAATTTTAGCGCGGCTGCTGGAGCCAGCGCTGCCCACCGCGCTTTTTCAGGCGATGGGCGCGCTGCAAACTGCTTTTTAGCGCGCCGCGCGTTGGGTGGCTGTTGGAGATGCTCTTAGTCAGGAACTGACTTGGAAAAAAGGCCACCTAGGCACTTTGACTAGTCAAGAAATGCCACAAACACGAGGAGGACGCAACCCAGTTGCGAACCGGTGATGCAGTCACTGGCAACTTCACGCCGGTGCCGGAGATGCCGTCCCCGCCGCAGAACTTCACGCCGGTGCCGGCGACGCCGTCTCGGCTGCGTCACTGGAGAGATCCTGCCTACTGTGCTCCGCAGCAGCGTGAACCGGTTGCTACCACCCATGGCAGGGCACCACCTGCTCGGCGGCGTGGGGCTCGCCTGGCTGGTTCTCTTCGGCATACGGGCTGCCGCCGCCGGTCACGCCGTTCCCAAGGGATCCTCTCTCTGTATCGAATCTTCTCTCCTTACCCTGTCTTCCTTATTGACCACGACGAGCGAGCAGCTGCAGCCTGCAAGCACTGCCCCCGTTCATGGCGATGCGGGGAGGAGCACATGGAGGGATGTAGTCGTCGTTTGGTGCTCCGCCGTTGGCCGTCGTCGTGGAGGCGAAGAGGACATCGGTAGCGAAGGCTCGATGCAGATCGAGGACAGGGGTAGCGGCGGCCGGCAGGAGCATCAGCGCTCGATCCAGTCGAGGACACGGGATAGCGGCAACCGGCGGGGGCATCGGCACTGGATCCAGATTCGGGACAGGAGGTAGCTGCGGCCAACGTGGGCAGCGGCGCTCGATCCAGATTTGTGACAGGGGTAGCGACCGTTCGATCCAGTTTTTTTTTTTTGACAAGTCAAATTTCCCACGTGGCGGGTTTATTCCAAGTCAACTCCTGGCAGATAGGGCCCACCTGTCATACACATACTTAACAGAGTCAAGTCTGCTGATCAGTGGTTTTTACAAAAAAAATTATGCTAGACGTGGTGTTTTTTGTAAAAAAAATGTAACATAGTGTTTTCTGATAACCTAGCCCTCAAAGTGGTGGTTTCCTGCAATTTACTCGGTCAGCACTGACGGGTCCATGAGTAATTTGGTATATGCTCCTCTCTCCTAAGGAGGAAAATAACCACGGAGATAACTGATTTATCCACGACCAAATTACTCATGGACCCGTCAGTGCAGACTGTTTTGCAGTAGTGCATTGTCTCTTCGTACAATGTTAAAAGGAAGCCAAAGCGGTTTATAATGATACAATAGTAGTACATTTTTGCTAGTTCCATATACACCATCAGATGTTACATTTCTTACCGGTTGCAAAGAAAACAACACTTTTTGACCAACTAGCTAGGTAGGTAGTAGAGAAAAAACTGGATGATACGATTTCATCCTCATAGCCATAGGCACTACAGCGCAGGAAAGGTGATGCCAGCCTGCAAATAATCAACCTGATCTTCACCAGCTTTAATCGTAGATAGCTCATCACTGGCACGTCGTGCCGTTGGCCTGCGGGATGGACTCGGCTCCAGGCACCGAACTGCTACACTGAGCATGCGGTATATTTCCCTAGCAGTCTCAGCATCTGGAAGAACAAGCCTGGGGTCCAGCAGATCTTGCAGGCACACATCACTGGTATTGGCGGTCAACGAGAGGGATGAGAGCAAATCTCCTGGATGAGATCCCATAAATAGCTCCAAAGCAAGCACTCCAAAGCTGTATACGTCACATTTCTCCGTCACGTTTTCTGTATATGCTAGCTCTGTAAGTGATACAAATTAATTAGCATATACTTTCTCCGTCCCAAAATATTTGCATACTTATGAACTGTCGAAACTGCAAAACTAGTAATTGAGGTTATATTTTTGTTTACCTGGGGCAAGATAGCCTTTTGTCCCAGCAAGCCTTGTGAGATTCTGGCCATAAATATCAAGAATTTTGGCTGTACCAAAGTCAGAGATGCAAGCTCTAAATTCTAGATCAAGCAAAATGTTGTTGCTTGTTATATCCCTATGGACTATCGGTGACGAACAATCATGATGCATATATACCAAAGCATGAACCACATCCAGCATAATATGCATCCGCCTTCTCCAATCCAATTCAATTGCCCTTTCATTGTCCTTCAGTGATTTTGCCAAGTCTCCTCTCTCCATATATTCATAGATAAGGAACCTCCCTTGGCCAGAGGAACAATACCCAAAAAGTTTTACAATGTTTCGATGACGAATCTGCACCAGTGCCTTGATTTCACGATTGTAGACATGTTCATTGACGCAACACTCATCTTCTATCATGTTTATCTTCTTCACTGCAAATATTTCGCATGTTGCAAGTCTAGCTTTATAGACAGATCCATGTCCCCCAGTTCCTATGCAATGCATCTCGCTAAAATTGTTGGTTGCTTCGATGACTTGCTTGAACACGTTTGCCCCATCAAAACTCCAAATAGAGAAGACTTTTGCTTGTGTTACTTCATCGGTGTTACTTAGCTTGGTTTTCTTTCTTTCATGACAGAACATCAATATCACCACAATAAGAACAAGAGATATTAGAGTAGGAACCGTGGCTAGTACACGTATTTTGTATCCTTCCCATTTTCCTCTGGACTGATTCACACTACTACAAGGGGGCAATCCTTTCACCACACCACATAGAAAATTATTATGCACGAACCACTGGATTGGAGCTCCTTGAAAGAGCTTACTGTCTGGGACCGGCCCTTCCAATTCATTGTAAGATACATCAATGGATGTCAAGCTTTCCATACTATTAAATGTTGCTGGGATAGAACCAGTAAGTTCATTGTGTGAAATATTCAGAGTATCTAGCATGACCAGACCACTAAGTATGCTTGGTATTGCCCCACTAAATGAATTATCACTTAAATCCAATAGGTCTTGTAAGTTGTGCAATGACCCTAGCTCGCCGGGGATGTTTCCTTTGAAGTTATTTTGATTCAACTTCAAAAAACGAAGCTTCAAACAATGCTCGAGCGAATCTTCTAACGAACCATTTAGGTTATTGGACGACAAATCCAACAACTCTAGTTTGGACAATGCTCCCATTTCTCGTGGAATGCTTCCATGGAGCAAATTGTGTGCAAGGTTCAGGTTGAACACATTTTTTAGATTTCCTAGTGCACTTGGAAGCTCTCCTTCAAGCTTGTTTGATGAAAGATCAAGTAACTCTAGTTGAGATAGTTGCCCCATGCTTGTGGGTATTTCCCCTGTAAGGTTGTTGTTTGAGATGCGTAGCATCGTAAGATTGTGGGAATCCCCCCAGTGATAAGAAAATTGACCAAATAGTTTATTTGAGCTCATATCTATGTAGACTAGATTTGGATAAGCTCCCATCTCAGAAATATATCCGTCTATTTGATTCCTTTCAAGACGAACTCTAACAAGGCTTCTGCAGCTCACCAAACTTGATGGCAAAGGTCCATTGAGATTGTTTTCGAATGCGCTTAAGTTCTTCAGCATGCCTCCAGTGCACAATTCAGGTGGCAAGGGACCAGAGAGATTGTTATCATGAAGTTGTAGGCTTTTGAGCTTCATCAAGGTGCCAATTTCTCTTGGAATGTGTCCGGAGAATTGATTACCATAAAGCATTAAGGTAGTGAGCTTGGTCAAATTTCCAAAGGTGTTCGGGATGGAACCCATGAGCTTGTTTTCCCCAAGTCCCAAATCTTCTAGGTTCACAAGGTAACCTAGTTCTTGAGGAATATGTCCGGAGAGTTGGTTACCCCATAGGTACAAGATAGTGAGCTTGGTCAAACTCCCAAAGGTATTGGGGATGGAACCCGTAAGTTTATTTTCGCTAAGATCCAAGCTTTCCAGATTCACTAGGGAACCTAGTTCCCAAGGAACATGTCCGGAGAAGTTATTACCATAAAGGTACAAGGCAGTGAGATTGGTCAAATTTCCAAAGGTGTTGGGGATGTTACCCGTGAGTATGTTTGCGCTAAGATATAACTTTTCTAGATTCACCAGGCAACCTAGCCCTCGAGGAACATGTCCGGAGA